CTGTTCTGACTCTGGCAGTGGTTTGGTTTTTTTGGGTTTTACTGACTCTGGCAATGGTTTGTTTTTTGGGTTGTTTTTTGTACTATTGCATTTGTATTTTTAACTTTTCCAATAAAGAACTGTTATTCCTATTCCTTTTGTCCTGACTCTGGCAGTGGTTTGCTTTTTTTGGGTTTGACTGACTCTGGCAATGTTGGTTTCTTTTGGGTTTGTTTTTTTTTTGTACTATTGCATTTGTATTTTAATTTTCCTAGTAAAGAACTGTTATTCCTATCCCCATATTTTCCCTGTGAGACCTTTAATTTCAAAATTATAACAATTTTGAGGGACAGCACACAGGGGCAGGGCCAGGCACCAGCTCCAGCTCTCATCAGCTTGTCCCAAGCCTGGTTTGTAAATGCAGCTTTAGGGGAGGCTGCCCTGCAAGCTGCAGCCTCTGCAGCAGCTCTAGGGCAGGGCTGCTCCTGGAGAAAGGAAGAAAAGGCATCTTTGGGGAAGAAAAGGCATCTTTGGGGAAGAAAAGCAAGGAGATTTCTGCAGAGCTCAGCAGTTCGCTGGCTGCAAAAATAAAAACCTAAAAAAGACCAAAAAACCTAAAAAAGGCAAAAAAACCCTAAAAAAAGGCAAAAAGGAAACCCTAAAAAAAGGAAAAAAAGAAACCCTAAAAAAGGCAAAAAAGAAACCTTAAAAACATTAAAGAAAAACTAAAAGAGGAAAAAAACAACCTAAAAAGGGAAAAAAAAAACCTAAATAAGGCAAAAAAACCTCCACCAAAACCTAAAAAAGGCAAAACCCAAAAAAACTCTAAAAAAAGGCAGAAAAAATTTAAAAGTAAAAGAAAAAAAAAATCCACTATAACATAAAAAAGAGAAAAAAATCAAAAAAACAAAACAAAAAAATTTTAAAAAGCCAAAAAAATAAGGATAAAGAGAAGATGAAATAAGAATTTCGGTTCAGGACGTGGAGGTGTTAAAATCCCTGTAGCAGCTCCTCTGAGAAGCACAGCACCAGGGCAATCAGCTGGATTTAGGGAGGCAAACAGAGCAGAGAGGATCCTCCAGGATGTGCCCAGGATCCCACGCAGCACTGGGGGGGATCTGGGGGTGCTGGAGGCTCTGGAAAAATCCTCCCCCATGGCTCGGGTCATGCCAAGGCTGAAGGGAGCTGGAGCTGCTGGCAGCACAGGCTGAGCTGCTGTGGGACACGGGAAATTACAAAGTTTTATTCCCCAGTAATGGAATGATAAAGTTTTACTCCTAAATTTACACTCCTCGAGGCAGCAGAACGCAGTCTCCCAGCCCTGCCTGCTCACAAGCTCCAGGAAAAACTTTAGCTTGGGTTCAAATCACTTTGGGGGACTTCCAGAAGAGCCAGGCAGGGACCTTGCGAAGGGAAAACATGCTTGAAATGTGCTTATTTTTTCAGAAAACGATTCCAGTAAAACTCTCCCGGATTAATTTCCCCCGTCCAGCCTTTCCTGTTTGGAGTCACTTCCCAGCTGTCCCGGCAGGTCCCACCAGGAGAGGCCACAGGCATGAGCAGAGCTCAAAGGCATGCAGGGGAACTGCTGCTGTGGGCAGGACAGCACCAGGAGAGGCTGCCTGGCCACCCACAAATCTCAAAAAAACCCTTCTGACTTCCTGGCAGCACAAATCCCAAAAAATCCCTTCTGGCTTCCTGGCACTGACCCAGCTGCCCGGGGCTGACACTGGAGCTCTCCCTGCCCACTGCACCAGGGTTTGTTTCCTCAGCCCAGCCAGCAGCTCCCAGCAGAGGGTTTTTGGGTGCCCGCAGCTCCCAAAATCTGCGTCCCCCATCCCAAAGCTTGGATGAGCCTGGTTTTGTGCCTCAGGCTCTGCCCAGCCTGGCGCTCAGGGCACACAGCAGCTGATCTGCTGCCAGGCACGCCTGGGAAATGCACAGGAGCCTCTGTTTGCAAGGACGGCGTTCCCGCATGGAAACACAGCCAGGCTGGCACGTTCCCACCGGGAACACCTTGGTTTTTATCCAGAGGCAACTGCCAGCTCCCTGCTGGCCTCTCCTAAATGTCACCTGCACCTCTCGGGGGAACACTCCTGTCATCCCTGGATGCCTCCAGAGCGCAGGGAAGTGGTGCAGGAAGCTCTGGAATGAGCCACAGGGCCTGGCACACACCGAGGGAAACATTGACCTGGCTGGCACGAGCCTGGACCAGCACAGCAAGCACCCGAGGTGGGAAAGGGACAAAAGGAGCTGGGATGTCACCAAGGAAGGGATTTATCTCCAGCTGTGATGCACAGAGTGCTCTCACTTCCCAGGCTGCTCCTCCTCCTCTGAGCCATTGCCCTCTCCTTTCTTCATTTTTCTCCCATCCCCTTAAATTAACTGAGTTTAATTTGCAAAGCCAGGGCTGGGACAAGGTGATGGAGAGCCCCCCATCTCCCCCTCCCCAGCAGCCCTCCAGGGAGCTGTTTCCCCCCTTCCCAGGCCCTGACCCAGCCTTGGCAGTCCCCTGTGGCACCCAGCCCTGCCCCGCAGGGTGCCAGCCCTACCTGCACGATGTCCAGCACCATCCCAGCAGCGACCGTGCCGAAGCCAGCCAGCAGGAAGGGGAACAGCACCTGCAGCCCGATGGAAAACGAGGTCTCCTTGAGGGGCGAGGCGGGCTCGGGACCCCGGTCCGTGCTGGTGTCATCGCTCTCGTTGCTCTGGCTGCCATTTTCCAGCAGGGCATCCTCTTCCCTCACCCCTTTGGCGTTGGCACGGGACTCCAGCACCACCACTTCCACGCCGGTGCCGCCGGGCGCCAGGAAGCCCTGGGTGGGCTCGGGGCAGTCCCCGGGCACCACGGGCAGCGCGGCCCCGTTGGCCTGGGCGCTCTCCTTGTGCTCCAGCGTGGAAGTCATGCTGCAGCACCCGCTCGGCTGGGCCTTGGCGCGCTGGGCCTACAGCCAGCAGCTGCTCCAGCAGGGATCTTCTGCCAGCAGCTTACCCACACGGCCTTCCCAGCATCTAGGGGTGCGCCGTGCCAGCCCTGCTCGCCCGCCCGGCAGTGCACAGCCTGCTCCTGCGGCAGAGATCCCCATCAACAGCGCCCGGGATGGGGACACGGAGCAAGGCGAGGGCAGGGGACCGGCAGCAATTCCCCCTGGCTCTGCTCCTCTCCGGCGCCCTGTGCTGCAGCAGCCGCCCGGGCGGGATCCCAGCTTTCCTCCCGAGATGGGTGATGCTTTACTGCATCTCTTCCCGGCTTTTTAACAGCAGACGTGATGGGGCAGAGGGAAAACCAGAAGAAGTGAAGGACACAGAAGCTTAAAGGAACACTGAAGGAGAGGGCTGGCTTTTAGACGTGATCCCACTCAGGCTCTTCTTGCTGCCACTGTCCCTCTGCAGAATTCCAGTGGGAAGGCTCCTGCGGGCTTTCTGCCAGAAGAGCCAGCGATTCCAGCAGGATTCCAGCGCCACTGCCGCCCTCCTCCTCCTCGCCCAGCAGTTTCTCACCCTTACTCAGGGCAGCAGCAGCTCCCACGGAGGGTTACTCACGGCGCTGGGCAGGCTGCAGGGTGGGGGCTGGCATTTGGGCGGCCTGGGGATCGAACGTGCTTTCCCAAGAGCTCGTCCGTCACCTGAAACACACGGCAGGAAAGCCGATATTCCCCGCGCTCCCCTGGGATCAGCGATCCGTGCCCAACCTCCGCCGTGCCCCTCCTCTCCCCGCGCTGTCCTCCCGCACTCCCGGGGGCTGCAGGGCACAGTGGCGGGGCGATCCCCGCGGCCGGGGCTGCTCCCGCAGCGCCCCGCGAGCCGCCAGCTCCGGAGCGGATCCCCGCGGGAATGCGCGCAGCGGAGCGGAGCGGGGCTGCCGCCCGGCCCGTGCCCCGCGGTCCCGTGCCCGCCGTGCCGGTCCCGTGCCCGCGGTGCCGGTACCGAGTCCCGCCGTGCCGGTACCGCCCGGTGCCGGCCGCTCCGCTCCCGCTCCGCTCCCGCTGCGCACCCGCGGCTCCGCCGCCGCCCCGCGCTCTGCCCCGCCGGGCCACGCCCCGCGCCGCCCTGACATCACCGCCGCCCAATGGCGGCCGCGCCCGCCCCGCCAAGCCGCGCTCCCATTGGTCCGGCGCGCGTGGCGTCACGTCTGGCCACGCCCCCCGGCGCGCAGCGCGTCCCCCGCGCGTGTAGGCCACGCCCCTTTGGCGCGCGGGGGCGGGGCCTCGGGCCCAGGCGGGGCCGGTGGGGGCGGCCGGTCCGTCTGTCCGTCTGTCCTTCTGTCTGTCTGTCCGTCCTTCTGTCCGTCCTTCTGTCCATCTGTCCTTCTGTCCGTCCATCCTTCTGTCCGTCCATCCGTCTGTCTGTCCTTCTGTCCGTCTGTCTGGCTGTCCTGTCTGTCCATCCTTCTGTCCGTCCATCCGTCCGTCCTTCTGTCCGTCTGTCCGTCCATCCTTCTGTCCATCTGTCCTTCTCTCTGTCTGTCCGTCCGTCCGTCCGTCCATCTGTCCGTCTGCCCGTCCCTCTGTCTGTCTGTCCGTCTGTCCTTCTATCCATCCGTCCTTCCATCCACTCTGCTGTCCATTCTTTATTCCATCCTGCTGTCCATCCGTCTGCCCATCCCTCCATCCATCCATCCATCCATCCATCCATGGATCCATGGATCCATCCATGGATCCATCCATGGATCCATCCATCCATCCATCCATCATCCATACATCATCCATCCATCCATCATCCATCCATCCATCATTCATCATCCATCCATCCATCCATCATCCATCCATCCATCATCCATCCATCCATCATCCATCCATCCATCATCCATCCATCCATCCATCCATCCATCCATCCATCCATCATCCATCCATCCATCCCTCCATCCCCATACCTTTACCTGCTCTCTCGGGGCTCTCTGGGGCTCCCTCTCTCCCTGCTGTGCCCCCTGGGAGCTCAGGGGTGCCCAGGGGTGCCCAGCAATGCCACCCCCATGCAGGGAGGCAGGGCTGGATGCAGCCCAGCGTGCTCAG